CTCAAAGAAGTGAATATTACTTATAATATACTGTGCAATCACATACTAAGAGTTTTTACTCAGTTCAAGTTTAAAAATTAAAGTGCAATATTTGCTTTCGCTGCTTGTTACTTCTTGAAGAAAGTGTTGTTTTTGGTTTATACATTTTTGCACTTTATTTTGTTGTTTTTCAATCCAATTATGTTTTAAAAATATTTTATTCGAGTAAATGATCGAAAATTACTGCACTATTATTTGTTTTTCTTTTAAGTAAATTTAGCCTACTTTTGCTAAAAGAGAAAATATGGACTAGTGATAGTGCCTTGAATAATATCGGCTTCTTTCATTCATGTTATGGGTATTTTTATACAAAGGAAAATTTTTTGTGCCTATTGAAAATTAAAGTTTACTGACATAGCCATAAAAAAATGTTGCTTTATTTATCTGACCATATTGGAATGAATTTGTTAGGTTTTCAGTCAATTAAATTTGGTTCAATAAACAATATGTGGTCATTTTTAAAATTTTCAATGAACATTCGATCAGTCCGGCCCTCGGCTTGTAGCAATTTTTTTTATCTGGCCCTCCGTCCATTTGACTTTGACACCCCTGCTCTACAGGATGAACTGCAAGGAAACTTTTAATCATGAATTCTCGTTGTGTATTTGTAGCCAACTTAGTCATGTTGATAACAGGCTAATATAGCTCAGATAGATACATACAGTGTGTGTTGCCTTCTTTCTGAGGCTTTTAATTTTTTGCGGCTCCAGACACATTTGTTTTTCGTTTTTTTTGGTCCGATATGGCTCTTTCAACATTTTGGGTTGCCGACTCCTGCTCTATTGGAATGGGTTTTTGTTATACCCCTGGATTCATTTCCTCACATTCACTTCTTCCATGTCTTCTAATTTTTGCAGGTCAGAAACTGGTCAACTGCCACATGTGCAACACTTCCTTCTCTACAAAGGGTAGCTTAAAGGTGCACATGCGGCTCCACACTGGCTCCAAGCCTTTCAAATGCCCCTTCTGTGACCTTCGCTTTCGAACTTCCGGGCATCGCAAAACACACATCCAGTGCCACTTCAGGGCTAATGGAGCGAACCGCAAGTCCAAGCGTCCTTCCTCGTCTTCTGCTCAAACCAGTCATAGTGAAGCTATGGGCCATGCCGGTGCCTCAGGACAAGGCCAGCATACAACAGCATCAGAGGCGCTTCAGACTGTGGGGCTGCTACAAACCTCCAACCCTGACAACATCTACCTCCCAGCAAACCAAGTGCTGACTGGGCAGTTTGACCAGAATCTTTTACAGTCGGGCCTGGTGGGACAGGCAATTCTGCCAGCCTCAATGTCAGGTATCGGTCTGCTTTCACACCCCATGAACCTAAAACTTTGTTAGTCTGTTAGAGTCTAGTAGTACAGGCATAAAGAGTATTTGATTTTGATACTCATACTGTTATGACATTTTTACCATTTATTTCTTGGTTACTGTGAGTTCAGTGTGACCTAAGTTGCATTTCAAACTTGAAAAGGTGGAGTCATACGTTTTCACACCACTTGTTTAAGCCGTCGGCAAGTTTGTGTCATAGATGTTGTAGCAGGATATTCGTTGTTCCTTTTCAAAATAATGTGCCCGGGAGATGCACATATTATTTTTTTGGTTTCATCCTTCCGGTGATAACAACTTAGGCATTTCAAGATGATGTCTTGTTTGTGGAACTGACTTTGTAAGTATCATCAATTTTAGACACTTGACCATCATCTGGCACTATCTTTGCTGAATAGCTGGAAGCCAAATGTTGGAGTCTGTTGAGGACGTTCAGAAATGTGGTTTACACAGATGAGGACACTTTATCCAATTTTGCCGGCGCGTCCTCAGTACTTCATCCACTAGCTGGGCACCCTTCCATCATCATCCCTTCATCCTTATTCATAAAATAAATTAAATGGGCATCTGTCGGTACTTGACCCGGTTAGGGATGATTATGAGGACGGACGAAAACCCATTTCTGTCCTTGTTTAGGCCATCCTTTTTAAAAAAAACTCTCATCCTCCGTCTCCAAAATGGGCATCTCTCCAGGATGGGCAGAAGGACCGTTCCGTCCCAGGGACGTAATGTCCATCTCTTGGTGTTGATCACCACAAACTCACATCTGTTGCCCTTCTTCTCCAGTAGTCAGCATTTTATTGTTGGAGAGATTTGGTTTTTGGGAGGAACCAATATCCTCTCAAACAGGGAGGGGCAACACATGTTGGAATGGCCACAATTTTTCATCAGTGCTACTGGGGGATCCACATATGCCCACCCACATATGACCCACCCAAAAATTACCATTCAAGGATGGCACAAACCCACATAGCAAGAAACAAACATTGAAGTGCACGTCACAGATGTCCGCCATTTGCAATAATATAAGGTTAATATTTTCTCTATATTGTATAACAATTATTTTTCATGTACATTTAATAACTTAACGCTTTAAAAAATAGCATATTGTAGCTGGCCAAAATTATTAAACTTGACTGCACAATGATACACACACGGCACATATAAAGCATTAATACTGGAAGAATGAGGCCTTAAAGCGTACATCTGACGGCCCATTTCGAAGTACTGTTAGGGAAACATAGCAATCTTCTCAAGTTTGATATGTACAGTATCTGGTGTTCTTATATTTTTGCCTAGTATTGTCTTCGCCAAACACACGCCTGCAATCCCCCAGGTTAATTTTAATTCAAGGCGCCCTGTTCATTAATGTTTTTTTTTTTTAACCACTGCATCCCACATCCATTCAAATGGAATACTACTTGGACTTTTGCTAAAAAAAAAATAAAATAAAATAAAACCCCCGTGTTAGATGTTAAAAAAATTTAACATCCAATTTTATTATGATGGTAAATGAAGTGCGCGTTTAAAGTGCTTTACCTACACCAGGAGTGCGCACACTTATTCAGCATGTAAGCTATTTGTACAATGATCAAGTCCAAGTGATCTACCTACTTTATGTATTTATTTATTTATTTCAAAATATATTTAAAAATCTTTATACGTACAAATATATATTGGCGTACCTTGCATAAGTATATGAACCCATATTGCACAATACAAGTAGTAGCCATTTTGTAGTCCTTGTCCAGCCATTATGCCGTCAAGCTGAGCATTTAGTCACTGGACGAACATCAGACATCACTATGTCTGAGTTACAACTGAAGTCCTGCGTGTTGTTGTCAGACAAGGAATGTGTGTAGCAACAGCATTGGAGGGTCAGGCTTGGAATGAAATTAAAAGAAAAAAGACAAAGTATAGAATAAAATGTTTTTTTTTTCACCCTGGTGATGGCCGTGGCTTATTGACCTGCTGTGTCATGCAGCAGAGGCTCGGCCATTCTTTCTCCAATATTGGTCTGATAGTTTTGGTGCATCCTTACTTTTTAATGCTTTTACATGGGTCGTTTTCATGTATAAAATATGAATGATCTACTCCCATGTTTATTCCCCACTCATATCATGCAAGGGTCCTGGCCTTTTTGTATATTGACATTCATTGCTCTGACAGATATACACACACACATTGGACATGTAATATAACGATTACTAAATGGCAAAAATTTCTTGAGTTGAAACAAACAAACCCAAAAAAATGGAACAGATGGGTGATCAGGTTTTCTGATTTTGTGTGTGTGTGTGTGCGCGTGTGTGTGTGCGCGCGTGTGTGTGTGCGCGCGTGTGTGTGTGCGTGTGTGTGTGTGTGCGTGTGTGTGTGTGTGTGTGTGCGTGCGTGCGCGCGCCTGCCTGCGTGCGTGCGTGCGTGCGTGCGTGCGTGTGTGTGCGCGCAACTGTTTGTATGAATGTGTTCATGACGGCAGGAGATGTGAATGTGTCCCTATCAGATGGGCTGACCACACTTGAAGGGATTCACCTCCAGTTGACTCCCGCCAACTTGGTCTGCCCGAATGTCCAGATCTCTGGCATCGACACAAGCAACTTAAACAACATCACTCTGCAGGTTAGGCATGTCTCTTTGTCAATTTTGTTTTTTTTTGTTTAGTTCGTTTCTTGCAGCTGTGGCTTTCCTCACAACTCTAAACTAGTCACGCCTCAAACATGAGTGCAAAGTGATCGATTTATATATAAATCATTGGAAACTTAAGACATGAGTAAGAATCACTGTGGAATAATTTCCTCTGCTTGTATTAATATACTTTATAACAAATTAAAGGCATACTAATAGCTGGTAGATTATTAGACGATAGCATTGGATGCATCTTCACAATCTCCAAAACAAGGCTTAGCTTTGACACTGTCGAGGAGGAATGAATTTAAAAATATGTTCTAGGTCGGGTTGAATCTACTGCACTGCATAATTGAAAGACGTCTTTCTGCAATTCTACAATGCTGCAAACGACAAAAACAAAAATACAATAGTACAGGAATTAAGTTTATGTCTCTTAGTCATTAAAAGCTGAGCTGAGTTTGTTTATCTTTTAAGGCAACATTTTTTTTTTCCATGAGGGACTTGTATCTGATTTCACTAGATTAAAATATGTAATTGAAGCTGTACACTCAGTCACCACAACCAAAAGTCAAATGAATCCTTCCCATTGATTTTAGGCCATGCTGATACAAACTCAAGCATGCCATCTTCAATTATATAGTTTAATTTAATTCTAATTATTGGCGTTAGGCCACACATATAGCCTCATACCATGTGATCATGCATACCTCGTTAAAATGTAATAATAATCAATGTCAAACAAATTCTGAGTCTTCAAGAGTTACCAAAGTCATTCATTGCCATGTTTTTTTGTGCAGATCGACCATGCCCTTCTCCAACAGACTCTACAGCAGGGCGGCCTTCTCTCACAGCCTCTTAGTGTCGACACTGGTCTTGTCCTCCACTCTGGCAGTCAGCTTATGTCTACTGGTGACGCATCTGTGTCAGCCAATGTTGTCCTCCAACCCCTGACCAGCCTGGGCCTGCAGCCATCCACCATCGCACCTGCCCAAGTCACAATGGCTGGCCTCTCCGAGCAGGACACTGCAGGTAGGTTCCCCCTGTAGCTGGAAAGTGTTCACAATAGTTCTTGAGCTGAACAATGAATGGTAAACTTTAATCATTTAGGTTCTCAGGACTTGAGCCATGTCATGGGCAGCACTGGGTTGGTGAGTGGGGGCGCTGGCAGTCAAGAGATTACACTCACGATCAACAATTCCAGCCTCACACATGCACTAGCACAAGTGCAAGCAACGCCTTCGGCTTCCAACACCTCATCAGGAAACCCTCAAGAGATCACTCTCACCATATCAGGTATTAATTATGTAGGAACATGGCCTTTGTATACTCGATTTAGGTTTTTTTTTTTAGGAATTCAGACAATAGTAGAGAGGAAGAAACATTCTGTCAAGGTTGAGTACCATTCTTCTTGTAAGTAGCAACTATCCCTTTGTTAAAATAAAATACTAAGAAGAATAATTTCAGAAGTATATTAATGATCTCTTTGGGGGGGGGGGATAATACATTTTCAAAACCCCAAATTATATTTATGTTAGGATACATGCCGCTACAGCAAGGAACATTGGTACTGAAATTAATTAAATGGCTTCATCAAAAGTATCAATCCGACTCGTATTGTGTCTGGTGCTGTATTTTTCAAAGACTTTCACAAGAGCACACTTGTTCTAAAATGTGTTCAAAGCAAAATGACAATGCGCATTGTCGGATAACTGCTCAATACACTGTTCCTTCCACTCTAATTTGTACACAGCAGTTCCAAAAGCAATACTGTTACATACCACTTAACCTCCAATGTCACATTGATTCCATATACCCGCAGGTCAGGATTTACTCCCCCAGCACAGCACTAATGCAGAGATGAACAGTGGCCTCAGACTTGCATCACCACTCACAGGGCAGCCCACCAACGCCACCTTGACTATCACCAATGACCACCTTCTACCTCAGAACCCCACCAACACTGGAATGACTGGTAGGACTTTGCTTGTGAAGAATATGCCTGTTTATGTTTCAAATTTATATCAGTTAAATAGAATTTGTTGTCTCAAATAATGATGAAAATCGAAGTGCCTTGTTCTCCTCATTACTTTACCCTTCTTAGTTTAAGTGGAAAAGAATTGTAATAATAATAATAATAATGCATTTTATTTAAAAGCGCCTTTCATGCCACCCAAGGACACCAAGGACACTGTACAGACAATAAGAAAATACAATGTAAAAATTTGTAAGCGAGATATTATATAAAAAATATATATATATTATATATCATATCAAATATCTCTGGCCAAAATGAATTCATATTATTGTTTATTGTATAATTTTGGAAAGAATTGCAAAACATATGCGTCTGTTACGATACAATTACTTTTCCTGGGGTAAATCATTCGACAAATTGAATATCATCCATTTCTGTTTCATTACAAAAATCGCTATTTAGAAAACAGTAAAGGTTGCCATAAACCTTCCAGTTGAGCAGGAACATGATGTTGAAAGTCTTAAAAATACGCAATTTTTCTTACAGTCACCAGTCTTCCGTCTAGCACCTCGCTATCACACAGCACTTCATCTCAAAGCCTAGTCTTGTCACCAGGAAGTGTGGCCAATGATGGTAGCGTTACACTGACCCTATCAGATGCCCAGGGTATGTTGGATGGCGTTACTGTAAACCTCAACACACAGGTAAGAGACGTTTCACAAGAACATTTTGTTAATTGTTATCGCGCTGCTACAACTACCTTTTTTTCCCCAGGTTTCAGATTCTTTGGCATTCTAAATTGTTATTCTTATTCTCATCCTTAGGGTCAGGCATTCCCTGCAGTGCTGAATGACTCCAATCTACAATCTGGGCAACAAGCTATTGCAGGCCAGCCAGTCATACTGGTCAGCCATCATTCCCAATCTGTGATGGGAACCTCTGACAGTGGATATAATGTACGTACATAAATCGGAAGTACGAGTTGGATGAGTTCATGGGCGGCTGTGGCTCATTTGAACTAATACTGTGCACTTTAGTATTTAAATACACAAAAAATGCATGCACTGTACATTGTGGTTGTCTATGATCATGCATTTCTTTTTTTTCATGATGCATTAATAAATTAACTGACACCATTTTTGGGGGGGTTATGTTCCAGATTGAAAATGATAGCTGTAAGGGTAGAAAGAGTCACCCCACGGAGGCTGAGAATCAGCACAAATGTTTCTACTGTAATTTTCTATGCCCAAATGCCAACTCTCTACGCCGTCACTGTAGACAAGCTCATAGTAAAGACCGATGCCACGTCTGCAGCATCTGCAACAAAGCCTTTAAGCGAGCAATGCATCTTAAGGTAAGTGGATATAGCAGAGCAGAATCGCTTACTCGTCACCCACCGTTTAGTGGGTTCCTGCGGATCCTAAAAAGCAAAAGAGAGATTTGTCTCAGGGGATAAGGAAGCAAATTATGGACAAGCATCATCCAAGCATCTTGATGATGCTCCTGTGACGACAGTTGCAGTTATCCAGAAATTTAAGATCCACACCACAGTAGCTAATGTCCGGGACAACTTTAGAAACAGATACAGTACATGCCAATGTGCAACACTTTATTTCTAGAAATATCTGCAAGTGTTTCAAATGATCATTTATACAACATTCTTTGAAAAGCAGACCCCTGCTAGAAACTGTTCAATGTTATTTACTTTGCATATGTTGACCTCTTAATAGGAGCATGAACGAGTGCACCAGCCCGGCCCATCGCCCAGCTCCCTCAGACCTAGACTCTTCAGCTGCTCCTCATGCGGGAAGGCCTTCCCTAAGCGCAGTCAGCTGGAGAGACACAACCGCACACACACAGGTGATTTGAAGAAATGTGTTCATTTTTACTCGTGAAGCAGAGTCCTGCCACTTCCCTCTGTGAAAGCAAGTAGCTCACAGGATTAGCTCAATAAAGCAGAGAGACACAGTTCTTTCAGCTCATTATCATTTGAATAGGCTCATGAGAGTATATTTGGACGCCATCGTACACATTCTTCAAACACTTTTGGTCTGTTATGGGAGTGTGCAATAGCGCCACCATCACGCCACTTTTCTTGTCATCAAGGCTGCTGAAATTGCCACCGCAGCCTGTGACATTTTATAGGAAGCTGTCATGAGGATGTTGCCAACAACATTAGCATTTGGAATTTTCTGCTATCATGTGTCCTATTTACACATGAGTAAAACCCATTCCATTCAAATCCATTTCTCGGTGAACACAACAACTTTAAGATGATTAAACTCATTAGCGTGCACTCATTTTGGAAACACAGCAACGTGATCTTAGTCGAAAACAATGTTGTGTTTGCAGGCACTGGCCCACGGGAGAAGTTTGTAGCGTGGTGTGCCAGAGGAAACATTTATACTCAATATTAATTGTGGAAACTCAATATTTTCCAGTAAATGCGTCAGGACTTTTACATTAGTTTGAACACTGTATAATGGTTAGGGTCCGCCAGTGTACAGTATGTATGTAGCTCGCTAAAGGGCATAACATTGTGTGAAGCTTGTCCATCTCTTTGTTGTCAATGTAGAGCAACTTTGGCGTAGCTCTGATGTAAATTTGAGAGCGTGTGCAGTTTTGGCTCACCAAGCATGGTGAAGCTTTGAACTCATCAAACAGGTTTGGGAAAGGACATCAGTATTCTCAGGTCATTCCCGGCTCGTTTAAAAATGGAAAGCATCTTTCAATGGGGTTTTCAGCAGCTCCACAAGCTTTTGTGGAAAGCCTCGTTTGAGCATTTATTCGTTATCCCTGAAACCCAGCTTAAGGTCCATGTACCCGGACACTTTTCGTCGTCATGAATAAAACAGTTCAGGACACTGTGGTAGGATATCAAATAAACGCTCATGCGCATTTATTAGATATCATATCCTCTTTGTCATCTTATTGGACAAGGACGAGCAACTTAAATGATGGAGGGGCCTACAGTTTTAATTATTGCTACTGGGGGGCCGATAGATGAGAAAACATTTTAAGACTGGACCACATGTACATCCATTCATGATCCGCTTGGAAGACAAATTTATATAAAAAAAAAATTACACATATATATATATATTCAAATGATCAGATCATCAGCAAGGTCTGCGGAAGCCTGACATTGAACTTGTTCATTTGAATGAGGTGTGTTGCAACAGGGAGAACATTTAAAATACTACGTCCAATAAATCACAATATTGATCTATATATAAGGCACATCGGATGATAAGGTGCACTGTCAGAAAATTGAATGCTTTTAGGTGCGCCGTATAGTGCGGAAAATACTGTATGTATTTATTTTTTGTGGCAGTGTAGTTAGTGACCGTAACGGAGTCGCACACACACAAACACACACACGCACACACACACACACACACACACACACACACACACACACACACACACACACACACACACACAGAAGAGGGGGCCAGTGTGCCACCAATTCTACATCTATGTACGTGCACGGAGACTTTAGACCCTAGAACACAGGTGTCCAACTCCGGTCCTGGAGGGCCGCTGTCCTGCATGTTTTCCAAGTCTCCCTGTTACAACACACCTGATTCAAATGATCAGATCATCAGCAAGGTCTGCGGAAGCCTGACATTGAACTTGTTCATTTGAATGAGGTGTGTTGCAACAGGGAGACTTGGATAACATGCAGGACAGCGGCCCTCCAGGACCTGAGTTTGACACCCTTGCCCTGGAACATGGACCTTAAAAATGGACATTATTGTCAAATAAATGCTCAAGCGACCATCCATATACATTATGAGTTTTGGACGTTGGCATTGCACTTTAATGTTTGAAGAAGCACTCAAGTTCTCAGCACAGCGTGAACAGCCAACCATTACTCAACGGTGTTTGGTGTCATTGCCCTTACAGGCGAACGTCCCTTCAAGTGTCCTCAGTGCGACAAGGCCTTCAACCAAAAGAGTTCTTTGCAAGTGCACATGGTCAAACACACAGGAAAGAAGCCCTTCAAGTGTGAGATATGCAGCATTCGATTCACTCAGAAGAGCAACATGAGACACCACATGAAGCGAGCCCACGGCTACGGTGAGATTCTCGACATCGTAGCCTGCATGTTGTTAACAACTTGATGTTCCAGTTTCAACGGTGGAGAACGTTCCTTCGAGAATGATATTCAATGGTGATCCCAGACACTTCAGATTGAAGCACCATGGTTACAGACCTTGCTCTGTTGGAACATCTTTTTGTTGTTGAAAATTATCAGCATCCAAAAGCTCCTTCTCCTTGAAATTAGCGGTTACATGCTGCATGGTCCCTCCCCCGCACAGCCTTGGTTTAGGACTGTCCTTTTTCACCATGATGAATTTAAGCAGGATTTATTGGCAACAGCAGTGTATGTGATAAACCTACCTTTAGTCGAGTTCTCCGTAGTGCGATTTAGAGTCTTGTACTGTGCTGTACTTACCAGTAAGTGGAAGTACAGATAATTGGGAGTTAACCCCACCCCCTGCCCCTCCTCAAAAAGACTTTGTTACAAGTACTGATTCAGCTCCTTTTATTTCAATAAAAGTACAAAAGTAATTTTTTTAATTGTCCATTATGTACAACACTTTTTTTTTTTTTTTTAAACTGCTCATTCCCATCATCAGGTCCCCACATGGCCAACTAATGGCCTGAGGTAGGGCGGTGTCTGGAATGGTCATTTTGTCCTGCAGCCAGATTTGTAGCCCTCGTGTTTCCCCACCAAAGGTCTGAGTGCCTTTAAACTTTCTAAATACATTGTGCAGTTCCAAAATATGATGATAAATCAGTTGAAACCCCACCAACACAAAACATTTCCAAGATATGCACCCCCATGATGTCAAAAATGTAACTTCTAAAATATATTAAGGGATAATAACATTAGTGTACCGATGCGCTTTTTAAGATTCTGATAGACAGAGTCAGAACACACGGATATAGCAATTTAGAGGTCTGTGCCTACCTTAAAACAAAAGATAATGGCCTCCAAATATGATCCAAAATTTAGTGTGCAAATCCTGGATTTCCAAAACTGGGTGCGTCACTCAAACTTTGACGGGCCATAACTCGAAAACCGTTGAAGCTAGGAAGCTCAAACTTTAGATCGTTTCCTTTGACATCATAAGGGATCGGCGGCCGGTGGTCCAGTGGTTATAGCACGTCAACCACGAGTGAATTGGTCATGGATTGGATTCGGGGCCCGGCCTTCCTGTGTGGAGTTTCTATGTTCTCCCCGGGCCTGCGTGGGTTTTCTCCGGGTACTCCAGTTTCCTCCCAAATTCCAAAAACATGCATGGCAAGCTAATTGAACACTCTAAATTGTCTCTTGGTGTGAGTGTGAGCGCAGACGGTTGTTCGGCTCTGTGTGCCCTGCGATTGGCTGGCAAATCGGTTCAGGGTGTCCCCTGCCTACTGCCCGAAGAAAGCTGGGACAGGCTCCAGCACCCCCCGTGACCTTCGTGAGGATAAGGCGGATTGGAAGATGGATGGATGGACCGTAAGCGACTAATAGAATAAACATCTGGATAAATATCCATCGAAGTCTTGCTTGTCTATGCTTTTGGTATTATCTTTGTTTCATACTGGCTGCGCAGAGCTCAAGTACAGTAGTTGACTATTTGTGTGAGTGTGTGTGTTGGCGACAGCACATATCAATTAGTGTTGGACAGAACTCTTTTCGGTTACAATTGGTTCCTGTTAATAATCATCACTATATGGGATAGGAACGCTAACAGGGAAACAACTCAATGGGGAATATAAAGAGAGTTCAAGGCTTTTTGCATTTGGTGCATCGGATTATTGGGCACACTGTCGACTTTTGAGAAAATGTGTGATAAGTGTTCTTAATTACTCTGGACCTAAATAACAATGCTTATGGTGTTTTAAAGTCACACCTTTTACCTCTTTGCATCATCACAGGTCAAATTCAGGATGTGGCCCTGCGGCAAGAAGAACCAACCACTCAGGTCACCGTAACTCCTGAACTTGACCTGGAAGTGGTCCCTGAGTCATCCGGAGATTGGCAGACCGTTTTCCCCTGAGCCACCCCTCATCACGGAAATCCCGAGCAGGTTACCGTATATACTGTGCATTGTTGAGAGTTTGTCAACAAATAATCAAACCTTTGCCAAACATCTTTGAAATTATTTCTTTGAGAAAAAGAAACAGTACCTGCCAATTTGTAGACATTCTTTTCTGTCAATGCTTTACTCCATGTGAAGCTTTGAGCAATGTGAATCCCCTACCACAAATCAAAGCAAATGCGGAACGACATCTCAGAGGATTACAAAATACGGCATTAGAATTCAATAAAATTTGTCAAGTATTTCTCGGCTAAAATGATAACCAGTATTTCAGTTAGGTCCCCCGTGAAGGGTTCATTACTGGACTTCGATAAGTCCTTTGATAGGTTTGTTTTAAATAAAGGCATCAGAGAGGGTCAAGAGAGAAGGAAAGAGCATCTTGAAAAAAATTTTAAAAAAAAAACGCCTCACAGAGAATAAAGCTTATTAGTACTCGCCTGCTCGCTGGGACGAATGCAGCCAACGGTTCTGCTCACGCGGCTTACAAAGCTGCTTTGCAACAGCCCCCCCCGAACTCTTTATTACTTACCATAATCATATCTATATGATAATAATACATGTTTATATTGTACATATTTGTTTTATTTTATCATAGCTTCTTTTGTAAATAGTGTAACACATTTGTTTATAGTTGAACTTGCGCAGAAAGGTCATCATTTCAGCCTTTTACTGTGTTGTAAAGCCGTTGTATTTTTTTCAGTTGTTTTCTATTCTATGAAGATGAACATTAAAGTAATTTTATACTATCTGAAACGTCTCAAGTTTTCATTCATTTTAAATGCTATACATGTATTTCCCTTAAAAAACACACACACAATTTGAAGACACCTGACAGACCCTAACACAGGGAGTAAGAGACAATTTGTTGCACCAGTTCTCTGATCACTTCTGTGTTAGTCACTAACTATTATTCTTTCAGCTACAAATGATTTACATTATCAGTTTGATTAAAAAAAAAAAAAGTGGTTTCAGCCATGTTTCTCTTATTGCACTGAGCAGTGCGACCTTTTCCTTAAGTTCCAAATGTGGTTCTACTGTATGTTTTTTTTATACCCCTCTGCCTTCACATGTGTGGTGGCACGATTAAAAAAAAAACAACAAAAAAACAACAACAAAGAAAAAGTCTACATTGCATTTGGAAATTATTCACAGCAGTTGACCTGTTTCCACATTTTATGTAACACCTCATTCCTCAAAATTCAACACACAGCACCATGTTAACAACATGAAAATATAATGATTCCACAAGCTTGACTCACCTACCTTTGGGCGGTTTTACCCATTCTTTGCAGCACCTCTGAAAATTCAGCAATTGGTTGGTTGGCTGGGAAACGGTGAGTTCTCAAAAGTGGCCGAGTGACTCTACAGTACATTCACAGAGTTGTCTTGAAGTCGTGATCAGCTGTCACCCCAGTCTGACTTGTTCCCCAGTTTCATATTCACAGCATGATTACAGCAACCAGCGTGCCTTCTCTGTGACGAAGGTATTCTGCCCGGTGATGAGTGCTGCATGGCTTCTTCCAAACATGACATTTGGAATTTACGCCAACGAGTTTGATCTTTGTTGATTCCAAAACAGAGAGTGTGCTGTTAATTTGTATAACGTCAGTTCCATTAATATTGGGACAGTGGCATGAATCTTCATCTTCCGTTATTCTAAACACCACCGCAATTGATTAGAAATAAAAGGAACATGTACTTTCACGGTAGACATTGGCCTGTAGATTATATCTAAATCGGATTCAAAGTGTAGGAACTGCAACGGTTTTATTGTGTTTCCCACTTTTTAAGTATTGGGTCAAATTTGCAGTCACATATCAAACTTTCACTTTTTAATAATTGGTTGGAAATGAATGAATAACGTAATGAGATTCGACACAAAAACAAATGTGTTCAAATGTGAGCGCTCCAGAGCAGGTTGCCATGGTATCTATTGCTCTTCTCCCAACGTTTTTCAAAAGCAGTGATTTTGTCATATGACTAAGATGGTGGGTGCTTGCTGAATGCTCTTGTGTTCAGAAGAATGAATGTAAAATAGAAATGGGTTTGCATTAGTTTTTTTTTCTATCCAGTGCGCCCTCCATTCTACACGGTGTATTTCTATGCTTAGCTCACTATAACATCAGAATACACCGGGGAGGGGCTATCGGAGAGCTTGGTCTGAATAACGTGAAATGAAATGTTTTTTTTTTTTTTTTTTAATATAAACCGTGTAGGAAAATCATCAAATGTTTGTCTTCCCAGCTGCAGAGACACACAAATCACTTTACTTTCATTCATGTTCACGTAAAGCATCACACACTATGCAAGGTATGGGGCTTTTATATTTTTATTTTCAGGTAAGTGGCTATATAATTGATTAAAAAGGGGGGTCTTTCTTTACATTCATTCAGAGGGTGCATGGGAAGAGTAGATTTACAGACACACATTGTAGATCGATGCCACATTTTATGCTTGCACGCACACAAAGTTTTTAATTCATCCGAAATAAGGGCAGTCTGCATTTCGGCGAGCCATTATTTGGTTTCTTGACATGGGGACAGAAGCACCACGGACGTTTTCACTCACACGTAATCGGGGAGCACCTTTTTGAAATTGTGTTTTTGTTTGTTCTTTTCAGTAATCCACAAACAGAAAACAGCAGTAGGTTTGTTTGAGCAGGCAAGAAGAGAGGCGGAAGACAAAAAGAGAGATTAAAAAGAAGCTTGAAAGGCAGGAACTGCACGTTCAAAGACTAGCGACGTGCACGGAGGGGAAAATTGCAATGTGCCGTTAAAATGTATGGAACTTATTAGAAGTGACAAATGTACGTGTTGTTTCAGTGCTCGTTGCGGAAAATATTTTTTAAGCGGTTGAGAATGTCAATCTATAACCACAATCAGTCAAATGACAAACATGTAGATCACATTGAAGACAGCACACCTACCAGAAACAGGGAGGTGGTTTTCACATTACAACCGGACAGTAATTTAAGTGTAGTTAATTGTGTCACGAAATTATAACGTAGTTTACTTTTTATGTGCACAGGGAGAGTGTAAAGACATAGACACAGACATGACGACAAGACAAAGAGAAGGAGCGGGCTGGTTTCACAATAAGCAGCAACAACAGCCAAGTTAAGAATTTATGAACGGGGACTTTTCCTCTCCCAATCCAGATCTGACTCTTCTCAGCATTTTTTTCTTTTTTTTGTGTGTATTGTAGTGAAATCAGACAGGACCAAAACTCAAGCGCTTTATACAGTCATGGCCGTTGTCAGGGGGTCATTTGGGGATGCGCGAGAGCGGCTTCAGAGGGAAAAGACACAGCAGGGCAGACGACCAGGATTTAGACACTATTATGTGTTATCAGAGTCAAAGGTAAATTTTCAAGGTCACAAAATTGTATTTTCTTTCTCTCCTTGCCCGCATCTTGTCCTTGGCTTCTAAGGGGATGTTGGAACTTCAGCGCCTGGCTGGAGAAGAGCTGCGGCTTCCCTGCGCAACAGACAAGGCATGAGTGATGAGTTTGTGTTCAATAGGCTGTGTCAAAAAATTCCAGGACTAGTGGCACAAAATACATCTTTTCAAACCCAACCTATAAACCTAACAGCTTTCCCCTTCAAATTGGCCAAACAATAAACCGGCACGTCCACAAAGACATCACGCAAACTTTGCTTCATTCAGTGCGTGACAAGTGGCGAGAGTCGTGGCCGTACAAATTGTGGCAGTTGCAATATGACGACGCAACTGTTTGCAGTGTTCTGAGCATCCAAGATTTCCTGACTGAGCAACTGCACAACTCGCTTGAGCTTTCGCTGCGTGAATTCCCAGGCTCAAGGGGTTCAGGCGGCTCGCTTTGAACACCTGTGTACGCACTTTCACATTTTCACAGAGGATATTACAGTTGGACACAATGACCTCTTCCTGGATGAGGCTGGTTTCAGTTTGCAGGAACAAAGGCAAAGAGGCTGCAACGTCATTCCCGGCCAACGGGGGGGAGTGGATGTGGAGGGTGGGGGTAATATTATGGAGTCGGAGGGGCTTGTCCATGCATGCTGTCCTTGGGTCTTACAACACTCAATGTCTCCTCACCTTCCAAGAGGAACTAAAAGACATCCTCTTGGACCTCCAACAACACCATCCTGGGCCCGCGCGTCCCATTTATGAGATCATTTGGGACAACGTCCGCTTCCACAGAACAAACCAAATCAGAGAGTGGTTCGCCACTTTGTTATTTTGACTTCAAGATGACGCCGCGAGAGTGACTGCCTTTCCAGCAGCTCGTATATTTAGTTCTTCTACTTCTTCCTTTCATAACTTTGCTGCTGTGAATTGGGAATTTCTCCATTGCGAGACGAATAAAGGTTTTCTTATTTTATCTTACCACCAACAGTAACCGTTTTTTTAAATGTCTGTCTGCCACCCTACTCCCCTTTGCTGAAACCCTATAGAGGAATTTTTTCTCCATGTTGGAGATGGAAGGTTTATGACAGACAACCATACACTACATAGAACCTCCTAAGGGCATATATATATATATAGCCTGCGATGTGGATGAAGTGATGTGGTCCGATGCAGCTCAGGGACATGATGCCGCACAGTGATTGTGGTGTGAATAAAGTAAATTTAAAAAAACAAAAGAAAAAAACTTCACACCCTGAATATGTTTTCAAGAGTAGTGTTGTGTGCAATACATTGTTTTTGCATTGAGTTGTGTTACAGTAGTGTACATGTAGTACTTTTTATAGATTTGTTCTCTTCAAATGAAACTCACAAATCGAAAGAAAGATCTAAGAAGATCCATTACTGTGAAGTTTCTAAAAATATGCATTGGCGGTTATGAAACAAAGAACCTTCTCATAAATTGAGCATTGTGTTTTCAATTATTTTGCTGTAGTGTGTAACGATGTGCAGCGTGTTGATATTTTTGAATGCTTTGAGTTGCTCTTTTGGTGTGAAAGTTTGAGTTTTGAAGTGAGAAGGTGTACTTGTGTTCATGTAGCTTTAGAAAAGGGTGCTGTGTTTGGACATTGGGGAACATAGAGGAAACTTTTGTGAAATAGGTTTGAGCATTTGAGAAAAACTGTAACATGAGTTACATTTGGCATGAGGTGAAGAGGCGGTATATAAGACGGATGGATGGAATGATAGACCTTTTTAAGATGGAAATTTGATGATGAGATCACACAGAAAATTCAAAGAGAAAGTAAAACCAAGTGAGTGGGGAAAAAAAACCTACAAACCCAATTCCAATGGAGTTGAGATTTTGTGATAAACATAAATTCATCCTTCCATTCAACCATTGTTGAGCCACTAATCCTCATGAGGGATAAAAAGAGAACACAATGATTTGTGAATCATGTTCAAACCTATATTAAATTGAATACTTGACATAGACAATATACTTAATGTTCAAACTGATAAGCTTTATTCTTATCACCTAATACGCATTAAGTTCGAATTTTATGGCTGCAACACGTTGCAAAAAAAAGTTAGGATAGGTTGCAAAAACGACTGAGCAAGGTGAGGAATGCTCATCAAACATCTGCTTGGAACATCCCACAGGTGAACAGGCTAACCTGGGCACAGTTGGGTGCGATGATTTGGTATAAAAGGAGCTTCCCTGAATTGCTTAGTCATTCACAAGCAACACTTCAAAAAACCAGTCAGTCAACACAGTTCAACTTAAAACTTGACTATTCAAAGCAAAAGCCATTTATCAACAACATAAAAAAAAAATGCCGGTGGCTTCTCTGGGCCCGAGCTCATATAAGATGGACTGAATTGGATAAGTGTTGTGTGGTCTGACGAGCCCACATTTCAAATTGTTTTTGGAAATTGTGGTCGCCGTCTCCTCCGGGCCAGAGAGGAAACGAACCATACGGGCTGTTATGGACGCAAAGTTCAAAAGCCAGCATCCGTGATGGTATGGGGCTCTGTTACTACTAATGGCATTGGCAACTTTGACATCTGTGAAGGCACCATTTATGTCATTTTCACGGCTGCGCCTGCTTATTTCAGCAGGACAATGCCAAACCACATTCTGGACATGTTACAATAACTTGGCTTTGTAGGAAAAGAGACTGGCCTGCCTGCAGTCCAGACCTGTCCCCCAATCAAAACGTGTGGCGTACTATGAAGCTTAAAATATGACAACGGAGACCTCAGTCTGTTGAACAGCTGAAGCTTTACATCGAGCAAAAATGGGAAAGAATTCCACTTACAAAACTTCAACAATTAGTTTCCTTAGTTCCAAAATGTTCATTGACCGTTGTTCAAAAAAATTTAATGTTACACAGTGGTAAACATGACTCTGTCCCAACTGCTTTTGAACCTGTTAATGCCATAAAATTCTAAGTTAATGATCATTTGCGAAAAAAAATATCAGTTTGAACATGAACTATCCTGTCTTTGTTATTGATTCAATTAAATATAAGTTGAACATGATTTGAAAATCATTGTTTTCTCATTTTATTTATGTTTAGCACAACGTTCCAACTTTATTGGAATTGGGTTTGTAGAAAGAAGTCGAAACCTGAGACCCCAAGCTTGTTATTAAGACTTTGGCCTCTCAGAATTTGGAACTCATTTTGGAAAGTGTTCATTTAGTATTTCTAACACTGGTAATATATGACTCGATTTGATCACGAATGTCTATGTTCCTTTTTTTCCCCCATTCTGCAATGACAGTGGCAGCAAGCTTGTCAGTGTGAAAGCAACTTTGCAATGCTCATTTTTTTTTTGCTCCTTGGCCCACCGAGAACCATTTATAGCGTCTTAAACATGCAAAGCAAATGAGGTTACAGCTTTTCAACTTGGATTTTGGTGTTAATGCTTCATCTCCGATGCTCTGTTTTTATTGCTTTAGACTCTCTTATACTTTTCCCACTCAGTGCAAGGAAGTCCTGAGAAAAACAAGGCTCTAGAGGTGGCTGTTGTGATTCACGATTCACTCGTTATTCTTCAGAAAATACCTGAAAAGACTTTAGACGAGTTAAAATATCCGGTAAATAGAAAGGGGAAATGAACTGATACATAACTAAAAGGTAATTGCATTCCACATTCGCCCTGCTATGATTTCTGCAACTCAACTTCACAAAAGAGATCGATAGTGTGACGCGAGCGAGTCAGTGCTAATTACACACGTTATATAAGTTGGTCAGTGGCGTGGACACTCACGAAGCTTAATTGCAACAATCTAGCATCTGCAGGTGAGGATGTAACCCACCAGGGAAATTTCATTCCACTCTTGGCGTGTGCTAAAGGTAGAGCAAGAGTGGCTGACTAATTAACACTTAACACACTTGTGATTCACAAAAAGAGTTGTGTGAAAAGTCGTTTTATGAACTAACAACTTGTTTAACATGACATTGTGCACACACTGTTTTAATACTTTTGTGTTTGTTGCAATGGGGTAATGCGCTAACGGTTAGCCATATGAGCCAAAGGAGAAAAAATGCCTCTTGAAAAGAACTTGATGATAAAGCGTAATCATGTAAAATGAGTGCCCACAGTTGTTGGCCCTGTCATGAGAAGCGAGTGAGTGGCGTCTCCAGCGGCATTAGAGATGCACTTGCACAAAGCTCGACTCATATATTTTGCATGCTGATGCAATTGTGGGTTTAAAAAGCTGCCGTGGGCTTGATTGATGAGATGAGGATGTTTTCTGAACTTTTCAACCTCGAACCCAAGCAAGTCAGTTACTCACGCTTCTGTTATCATCACTGAGGTAGAAACAAAAAGATAGAAATATAAATTTCACCATTTTAAACTGTGAGGAAATTTAGGAATTTAGAAACCATTTTTAAAATTTATTTCATTCTTTTTTTTTTTGTTACCATTTTGAAGATCCTAGTCAGGGTGCCTTTGCCGTCTCCTCCACTGGACCTCTTGGCTTTAGCAGACTGTGACTTCTGGTCACCCTGGAAAAATTCAGTTGCATGGGTCAGGATGAAGACGTTTTGTGAGCTTGCAAATGAATTCAGAACAGTTGAAAAGGTGAGTAAACAAGATTGATGAGGTATCGCACTGCTACTAACGAATGGCATGAAGAATGTTAACAGATGACATTGGTAGAGATTGTGGGGTGTTAAACAATGAAACATTCGTGGATATCCATCCATTATTTATACCATTATTGAAGGATTCAGCTGACGTTGGCTGAGAGGCAAGTGCCACCCTGGACTCAGGACATATCAGTGGTGCGCAGTCAAGGTCTGCGCGACCTCTATTCTGGCCCAAACACTTATCAGAAGCACTCTGGTACATTTACAACTTCGATGAATTGTATTCATTTATATCCATTATCTTCATTTTGTAGCCTGTGTCTCAGCTGCGCAGCTTTCAGTCCTTTGTCCGTTCAGTCATTTCTGTCCAATTCAGCTTATACGTGTTGCTATATGCTAAATGGAATTTTCCCAAGGCCTTCCGACTCCCTGGTTCATCACCCCCAAGCAGATTTGGGATTCAACACTGAGCATCTTCATGTCGACGCGAAGAGTGACATCAGCATTCTTCTGCCTGTTCTGATTGATTGATCGAAGCGGCTCAAAACAATGCGATTCATAATCCTACACAGGTGACTGAAGAGGAGAGGATGAATATGGGGCGTTGTTAGAAGTTCTCATTTCCAAGGCAAACCTTTGTGAGGATAGCTCAGCCAACACGACAGCATGCTGGCTGACGTCGAATTGCAAAAGGATTTATTCGCCACACCCAGAGCAGTAGCAATGACTGTAGCTAGCGCTAGAGGACGGATTTTGTCTCAACAATAAGCATCTGTGGTGAGTATGATTCAATTCATTTCAAATTTTGATCATATTTTTAGATCAGACTTGGTTGTGAACTGCTGTATTGTAGATCACTGGTTCTTAACATTGTTAAAGGTACTGAACCCAACCAGTTCATATGCATGTTAACCGAACCCTTAATCAGTGAAAAATGAAAAATTTGATTTTTTTCAATTTCAAGAAAAAAAACAAAAAACAAAAAAACACACACATTTATTAAAAACAGAAAAAAGTAAATTATATGGGCTAAGTATAATTTTTAAAAAATTGGATGACGTACTATCAGGACAGTCACACGAGCGAATTAAATTTCCCGCAATACTGATTGGACAAGCAATATAATGTGATCATCTGCAGCGGGCGTGTCATAACTAATTGACATGTTGAGTCGGATGTGTCTTAACCTCCATGGCAGAGGCTCCGTCGAACCCCTGAGACCGATTCACCGAACCCCTCGGGTTCGATTGAACCCAGGTTAAGAACCACCGCTGTTGATGTAATGGAAGATAATCGTCTAACTGTTTCTTGTTTTAGGAATAATGGTGTTCTTCACCAGATATGCAAAATGTCTCTGCCTCTTTGTAATCTATGCCACGCACAGTTATGCTGTTTTTTTTTATTTTTTTTTCCAATAACTGGTAATTATAAGAGGTAGACTATGTCCAAAATGCACCGCATGGCAATGGGACATGCAGCCTACACATGAAACCATTCTCATTCACAGCTATGGACTATTTTGAGTCTTCAAATAACCTACCGGACTCACAACTATCCCTGTATTTCTGACAATTTTATTTAAAAAAAAAAAAAGATACAACACGTGGGATTTTGATTTGATTTTGTGGAATTACTATATCTTCTTGTGAAAATGGACACGCTGACCGCTAGCCGACACCGACAGCAAGACATATCAAGAACGAAAAAAACGATACTAATCAGCTCACAAGGAGTCTGTTCTCTGTTGTCTCGACAGCCTTTTTGTGTTCATTTCCTGACACCATATTGAGCTAAGCACAATTCATTTGGAACATATTTCAAGACAGAACATTTTGCAAATCAACACACCACCAAAAAATTTTTTAATTGTCTTGATCCCATAATTTGAATTTGCACAAAGGCAGCATTCTCATTAATCTATGCCACGCACAGTTATGCTGTTTTTTTTTATTTTTTTTTCCAATAACTGGTAATTATAAGAGGTAGACTATGTCCAAAATGCACCGCATGGCAATGGGACATGCAGCCTACACATGAAACCATTCTCATTCACAGCTATGGACTATTTTGAGTCTTCAAATAACCTACCGGACTCACAACTATCCCTGTATTTCTGACAATTTTATTTAAAAAAAAAAAAAGATACAACACGTGGGATTTTGATTTGATTTTGTGGAATTACTATATCTTCTTGTGAAAATGGACACGCTGACCGCTAGCCGACACCGACAGCAAGACATATCAAGAACGAAAAAAACGATACTAATCAGCTCACAAGGAGTCTGTTCTCTGTTGTCTCGACAGCCTTTTTGTGTTCATTTCCTGACACCATATTGAGCTAAGCACAATTCATTTGGAACATATTTCAAGACAGAACATTTTGCAAATCAACACACCACCAAAAAATTTTTTAAAAATTGTCTTGATCCCATAATTTGAATTTGCACAAAGGCAGCATTCTCATGGTTCACAGCAATGCTCCAAATGTAAATGCTGAGAACCAAGCCACGTTATAATGCCATAACTTTGCGACTGCCAAAGGACGCAGGGGTGTATTATTTCGCATTACACAGTCATTCAAACATGAAATAAATGATTATGCTTCACTCTTAGCTCCGTGATAACTTATCTCAGCATTAACGTGCAACCTCAACAGTCTGTCTGTCTGTCTATACCAGTGGCGTATCGTGAAAGGCAGAGCAATTAAATGATCTTTTCCATTAGATGGCAGAAAATAAACAATCAACAGGGACACCACATACGTATGTCCTGTCCGTGTATACAGTCAAAGCAATACGAAAGTCCCCTTTGTGTGACTTGTCAAATCGCTCCGATGTCTAATGGTAGCTCGACACCGCACACAGCTGCGGCGAGGGTTGAGGAGGAGGACGGGGGGTTGCTGTCATGTCCTTTGATGGATTATCAGTATTTTGCCCGCAGACAGTTTTTATTCGATTGGTATGTCAGATCACTAGAAGAACGTCTCGTGACCAACGTGCGAGAGAATTGCAGTTTCAAGCAGGTTAAGTAACATTTAGTACCACGCCCATCGTAATAAATAGTCTCTTTCCCAGCTATTTACGATTGACATTTATCACACACAAACAAACTCGCAGGCACCTATGCATGAGTTATGTGGGTGGAGATGGTTAAGATCATTAAAAAAAAAATAACGGACAAAGAGTCAATGAGGCAGATTGGCTGAAGTGGTCGATGTCGACTAAAGGAAAACATCAGGTGTGAAAGCTTTGATAGAATGACCTTGCCTGGCCCATTGGTTCAATGAGCCATGATACCACTGTGATTTTTGGCGTTGTCAAAGCACCTACCAGGCCTATCTTGGCTGCTAGTCCTCTCCACTGGACATATCCAGAAACAAGAGACAGGGGACAGGAAAGGAAGTAAAAGGGAGAAGGAATTGTTAGAATTGCCAGTCTGTCTGAGAGAAGGGAAGTCACAGGATCATGCGGGGTGGCAAGGGTGGATGAGAAAGTACAACGTGAGAAGTAGAAGAAAAGGAGAGCAAAGCAAAGGCTAACATTAAAATGGACACACTGTGACAGAGAAGAGAGAGGAAAGGGCTTTTTTCCCAATGGCGCGATCTGCTTGACTGTATCAAAAATATTTAAAGATTTAATTATTGCCATTGTCCTATTTCTTCAACTTAATGTCCACATGTTCAACTTTCAAATTTGCAATTCAAACGACCTGCTAATGCTCATTTTTACACCACAATCTATATTATCTATTTGGTGCCAGTGCATTCATCACTGTGTGTCGTATGTCATGTTATGAAGACTCACCCTTGACTTTGGGGGGGCAGGAGAAACCTGAGAGAGAGATTTAATGGGAGAAAGGAAGAGTTTGGACAGAGTTCGCTAGCGCGCATACAAAGTAGCACAGTTGTGAAGAGATTATTGGCTCCTCAAAGTTGTTCAGAGCTGCACTTCACTCACGATGGTGCGGAAGAAGTGGACAACTGCGTTCTCTGGCCCTCGCTTACGGGGGGATGTAGCAGAGGCTTTCTGGGTGGTGGGAGAGAGGGCACCGCGGAAAGACCCCTGAGAAGAAACAAAAATATTGGACAAACAATGATAAACCATTGTGCTCAAATGTTTCCTGTTAATCATAGTCACAAAAGACTTACAAATAACTTGCAACGTAGGCAAGGCAAAGCAACTTTATTTATATCATACATTTCATACGTTCATTTGACAATTTTCAGGAGCAAAGCAGAGAAAACAAAAGTAGCTTACCAAAATAACCAAAAGAATTTACACTGACAATATTTAAACACATTAACAGAGGACTATAAAAACAATTAAAAGTCAAGTAAAGAGCTTTGTTACAGTTGCAGCTGTTGTAAAAGCGCAAAGTAAAGAAAGTTGTATTGCATTGTACTCTATTCATAAAATTCAATCAAACGTATGGGGGGAGAAATGTTTTTAACATCGATTTAAAAGGATATACCATTGGGGTTGACTTCACTTCTGTTGGCAGCTTATTCTATTTGCCTGCAGCATCACAGCTAAATGTCACTTCACTGTGTTTACTTTGAACTTTGGGCTCCCCCGATTGACGCAAGTCGACAGATCTCAGAGCCCAGCTGGGTTTATATTCAATCCGCCTTTCTTTGATATATTCAGCACCCATTCAGTGATTTATAGACTGACAGAAGAAGGTTAGAATTTATTCTAGATTTTATTGGGAGCAAGTGTAAACCCTTAAGGATATATATATACATATATATATATATATATATATATATATATATATATATGTGTACACACACACACACACACACACACACACACACACACACACAAACACAGAAGGGGGGTGGGGGCGGCCGGCTGGTTAGCACGCCTCACAGTGCAGGGGTGCAGAGTTCGATTCTGGCTCTGGCCTTCCTGTTCTCCCCGTGCCTGTGTGGGTTTTCTCCGGGTACTCCAGTTTTCTCTAACATTCCAAAAACATGCATGGCAGGCTGATTGAACACTCTAAATAGTCCCTAGGTGTGATTGTGAGCGTGAATGGTCATTCGTCTCTGTGTGCCCTACGATTGGCTGGCAACCAGTTCAGGGTGTCCCCCGCCTACTGCCCGAAGACAGCTGGGATAGGCTCCGGCACGCTCGCAACCCTCGTGAGGAAAAAGCGGTTCAGATAATGGAGATATTTTTTGTTGTTGTTATCCTACCTGTCTGTGTAGGCTAAACTGTTCACTCAAATATCACTTCTCTGAAATTGCTTCCCCCTCAAAAACAATCTGAATTGCAAACAAGCCACCCTGCAAAGCAGTGTTGGTTGAAATAGCCTCATAAAGTCCATTTTCCTTGAAAAGTAGTGGAAAGTGAATTTTCAATCATGGTCCCATGTCGTGCTCCCTCATAAACCAAGCTGCGGCCCTCGCACACAGAGCTGAACCAATCAGAAGCGATCATTGCTGACCCAATGAGAGGATGGATAAACTCACTCGTCACAGAGCCTGTGGAATGACTTTCCGGAGGGGAATCTACAATCTGATTGGCTAAAAGAAGTGTGTGTGTGTGTGTGTGTGTGTGTGTGTGTGTGTGTGTGTGTGTGTGTGTGTGTGTGTGCACGCACACTTGGGGTCCAGAAAGCATTGGACAAAATATTGCATGGCAACACATCGAAGCTGAAATCTGATTGAACCAAAAATAGAACAATTAACCCACAAAGGACTGGAGTTATGTAGCAAAATGCGTTGCTGTCACATTTCACTTATCTGGTCAATCCTAAATGAAACTGCAACATCATCGAAATCGAAAATAGACTTTCATTTCCTGGGTTGCCATAGAAACATAGGTTTGTTTGTCAATGTGATCCTTCATCGCAAAAATTTAATGTGTAGCCACCTCGAACAACAACCACACACACACACACACACACACACACACACACACACACGCGCGCGCGCACACACACTCACACAGAGTGAGAGAGAAAGATGTCTGGTGACGGAAAATTTTGCCTGTTGCTCTCAATATCCATCTGCCGTTTAATGGACTGTATGCCTGTGTGTTCACGATGGGAGAATAATTTGACGGATGAATGATTTTGCTGGTTGATACATGCTTCGATTGGCCATCCACAAATACACACACACACACACACACACACACACACACACACACACACACACACACACACACACGTGAGTTCATGCAGTTAAGCAAGGTACATCAGTATATATTGTACATATAGAGTTCAAAATATATTTTTGAGTACCGGTAAATAAATGAATAAAGTGGGTAAATCATTTGGGCATGGTCATTTTATAAGTAGCTGCCATGCTTAAAAAGTGTGGGCACTCAATTAAGGTGGTAGCATTAGCAATATAATTACCGTCAGATGCTCATTTTGATGCTTTGACATTACTATTGTCCATGCCTTGCATCAAGAGACTCAGCCTTTCCATTTGTGTGTGAGCTAAGAAAACATCTAAATCATTATGATTATGACTGTTATTACCTCAAACAACATTTGGTCTCAGCAAGTTGGTTAATTACAGCAACATAATAAATGAGCCTCATAAAGGAATAAAAGATAGAAACGATCAGTTGGCATACCATTATTACTGTTGCAGGCCACGAGAGAGAAAAATAAATCCTTTTCCACCCAGGCAGTATGTTTATGAGCTATCCTTTTCTCTGACCTCATTAATGGAACACTAATGCTTGTGATTAGATGTGGCGTGTGGAACAAAGAGAAGGGTGATCAGACCACACATTTGGAGATTATAATGGGTTTGTAAAGGGCTTTTGATGTGCGTTCTCATCATGTATTTGTTTGAATGGTGCATCCACCTTCTTGTTGAAGTGCTGCCAGTGACCTCTTTATCAGCTTCTCTTACTTAAACCTTATTTTTTTCTCAAATGTAGCTGTCTGGGCGTTGCGTATGATGGGAACTTGAGGAGATCAAAGGAGGGATATCGAAGAACCTCTGCGCATGTGGCCGTGTGCTAAGCACAAAGAAAGGAAATGTGGCATCTTGGGTGTTGATGTGTGATTCTCTCCAAGGTATGTCGGAGTGCTCATGTAGCTTTCTTAAAAGCATCGCTTATAGAATTCTGAAGATGTGCAGTATTCATATGTTAAGAGGAGACTCGAGAAGACAGGTTCTGAACAAAATACTTGTGAATGCTGAAGAGTTGCCAACAGCTAGCATGCTAACATTTTTGGTTTTTGTGCCCCAACAAAGTGTATGCAGAAAAGTGGTGAAGATTGCACGACTGTCTTGTGTCCTATGTGTTGTGTTGTGTTATTTTTGTTATTTTGACTCAAAATGGCGCCGCGAGAGTGGCTGGCTTTCCAGCAGCTCCTATATTTTGTTGTTCTACTTCTTCCTTTCATAACTTTGCTGCTGTGAATTGGGAATTTCTCCATTGCGAGACTAATAAAGGTTTTCTTATCTTATTATAATGTGAATTTCTCTCATACCTCACTCAATAGGTTCTAAAGTGCTAAATGATAGTAAATACAGAAAGCACTAAAGACAGGTACACCTGCCAATGTTTGAAATGTGAAGGCCCAATAATTACACCTCTTAGTGTTTAGAGTGATTGATCCTCCACCATCTGCTTAACTGTAAATACACGTTGAGTATTTACGATCGCAAAGTTTTACACGTGTGTACCACACCAACCCCTGAATGTGTTGTGCAACGGAACGATAGCCAATAAAGAATCGATTTGGAGCTCAAACTGCTGCAGGGGTGATAGAAAGAGATGTGCCAAAGGTTGCCTTTCGTCTTTATAGCATTTTAATGTTTTAATTTGGATTAATTCTTGAAAAAAAAAATAACCCCGCAATGTTTGATTTTTTTTTTTTTTTTACTTTACACTTTTCTATTTCTGCCCCACAAGTCATACTTTTGTCAGTGCCTTAATTCCCAGCACACCAGTAACACTGATGCACAAGATGCATTGTTATTAAAAACAAAAAAAACAAACAAACAAAAAAAAAGAATAATAAAAATAAAAAAATAGCCAGTCTGGCCAACCACATCGTTTTTTTGTGGCCCAATAAAGCCAATCAAATATATCTACATGTTCCATGTAAGGTGGAGTTGTGTTTGTCATTTTGCCAGAGTTGTGCTCTTCATTTTGGCAGCATGTCAGGATCAAAATTGCAGGCTCCTTCACTTCTTTCTGATATTACAAACATTTTCTCCCAACAAATCCTAAGCACTGTCCCTGAAAGGCTTAAACCAAGGCTGAACGTTTTGGCCACAATTCCAAAAGGTAGATTTGGTGCAAACAACAATTTCCATCACCAAAAGTGAACTGAAGTACAGTGAAGCCTGGTGCTGGCAGCATCACACTTTCGGGCTGTTTTCCTTCAGCTGGAACTGGGGCCTGACAGGACTCAAGGTGAACAGAATTAAGAACGGTTCGAGATACAAATCCGTTTTAGCACAAACCCTTTGAACCTCTGTGGGAAAGCAAAAATATATCAGGAAAAGCTACCAGAACATCTGAACTCGATTTGAAATTGATCAGAGGTGGCAGTTTTGGTCCGACTCCCATTTAACATGAGTTGAAAAGACATTGGTTAATTGTGAACACAACCACTTCCCCATTTATAAGAGGATACACACACTTTTGCAGCCACCTGATCTCACCCTCCCATCTCAAACATTTTCAAATTTAATTTAGTTGCAGGGGCGGCCCGGTGGTCCAGTGGTTTGCGTGTTGACGTCCTCATTGCAGAGGTACCGGGAAAGGTATCATGGCAGCTGGTGGATCCAGCTGGGTGTTCCATGAACCATCAAATTGTCATAACTTTACTCCAGATTAATACAAACCACAATTCTAATTAAATGGGGATGTTGTGTAAAATGTGAATAACAAACAAAACACAATGATTTGCAAATCCTTTACAGCCTATATAGCTCTGTGGAGTTTGCATGTTCTCCCTGGGCCTGCGTGGGTTTTCTCCGGGTATTCCGGTTTCCTCCCACATTCCAAAAACATGCATGGCAGGCTGATGGAACACTCTAAATTGTCCCTTGGTGTGAGTGTGAGCGCGAATGGTTGTT